ATTAACTATAGTAGTTTCAATTATACTTTACATGGTAAAGCATAATTGTGAAATCTTGGTTTAAGTTTTCAAATATAAAGTTGTGATACAAACCGGTAAAGAACTATCTAAGGCCGTAATGATAATAAAGGTTGAATTAAATCTTACTTGGTATGATTTACTTTCTAATCGGTAGAAATGTCCTCATTTTATTTCCTTGGGATAACACCTATAATACTATGGATTGTACCTTGAGTACAAACACCAACTAATTAGTAGATATAACATTTGTTCATAAGATTTTGTATGGAAATGTTTCATCCCTATCTTATTAAATGTTTTATGGATTTAAAGTCTATGTTGGACTAAAGCTTTTAAACCCAAAATCTACAAGATACATATTTGTATAATAATCTAAATGTGGCTTAGATTATTACGTACAAACCCACCGAGAATAAGTTCTCTTATTCCCTTGATAACTGAGTTAGTAGAAAACAAGCTTCTAATGACAAAGCAAGTGGGAGGTACATGGAACTTGAAGCAACTCAAGAACCATTACCTGATGTAGTAATAGTTGGCACTAGTTTTAACAAGGGATTTTTAAACTTGAATAATAGTCATTCACAAACAAAAATTGTTCGCTTTAGTTGTAGAAATCATCTATGACTTGAGAAATGTGGAATCTCTCATTGATGAGCTTTTCTTGATGGTTTCTATCAAATCCATCAAATACCAAGATGCTATGTCAGATCTCGAATCTAATTAATGACTTAGAGTCATGAACATGAGATGTAATCCATGTATGATAATCAAGTGTGGTCTTGATTGAACATTCTCTCTATAGTAATGCTGGAAGGAATAAGTTGCACTACTAGAAAAACAACCTTTTACGACGCGCAATGCGCGTCATAAAACTCTCAGACGACGCGCAAATACGTGTCAAGGAAGGCCCTGTCATAACGAGAGAAGACACACTTTTGCGCGTCGTCTATAGACGACGCGCATTTACGACACGCATTTACGACGCATATTTTACGACGCGCAATGTGTATCAAGGAAGGCCCTGCCATAAAGGAAGACGACACACATTTACGTGTCGTAACCTTACGACGCACGTTTAGGACACACATTACGTATCATTAAAGCCCCTGTCATAAATGACGATGACACACATTTGCGTGTCATAAACTTCAATAACCATTCACGATATACATTTATGACACGCCTTTGCGATACTTATTTACACATAACACAAAAATATGGAAACAAATATATACCAAAACAATCAAGTCAAAACTAATTGTAATACATTGGTATTAAGGGGATCAAATTGTACATTGTTATTAAGAGTTTTTCCCTTTGTATATAACCTAATACTACATTGCTATTAAGGGACACCTTTTTGTTTCTACTTATTATTATGCTTCTGCTTCCACATGATACCAGTTTTCATCATCAACACATTAGTATTCATAAAGGCTTCAAGCATCATCAATCTATGTTATAAAAATATTAAAATTTAATACGCATGTAGTAAAATACCTTTTGCCAAGAATCCAGGCTTCAATAGCAATCTCTTTTTCTTCAACAACCGTAGGCGCTTCATCAATACCTTTTTTAGCTGCCTCTAATTCCTTTACAACCAATGCATTCTATTCATCAAGCTTCTTTTGTACCTCTTTGTCACACCCCAAAACCGGAACAGCGGAAACGTTCTGGGGTGGAGGACGTCATGTTTAGTATCACAAGCCATGCATCATAGTAAGCAAAGTAATAAACAAGCATTTCATTAGAAAGAAAGTGTTTACAAAGTATGTGATCCACATAATATAGAATACATAGCAAATAACAAAAAGACTTGAAGCTATACTGCTCCATCTTCTGAATCCCAGTGTGCGTACCTGTCTACTGGTCTCCTGAGAATACAAGTTATTTTGAAAGCGTAGATCAGCATTTAAGCTGGTGAGTTCATAAGATTTTAGTGATGTAATGTAAGTTGTAGAAAGTTATAGTAAGTTGTAGTAAGTTCTGTTTAGAAAAGTTTGCATGTTCCTCCAGGAAATCCTATATTTCCTGCTTTGATGCAAGATAAGTAAAAATGACTCTACAGTCCTTTCTATGAGTATTAAATAGATACAAGTTATATAAAACTCAGAGTAAACGAACAATCGGCTGTGTGTATCTGCCCTAAGCCCACATCCAAACAAGGAACAGGAAATGAGGCGGAAGACACACATCCTATTGTTTGTTAGATCATCATTGTATATAACCATGGCGTATTCACTTGGTACTCACGGAGTTAACTGTAATAGTTCCTTTAGTTTGATGAAAAGATTCTTTAAGAAAACCCTTATTTCTTATAATAAAATGGTAACCACAGTGGTTCCTTCTATAATCACTTAGTTTATACTAGCTATATATAATCTAATATCGAACAGATAGTTAATTGTGTGAATCTGCCCTAAGCCCACAACCAAACAAGGAACAGGAAATGAGGCGGAAAGCATACATCCAACTACTTATCGGATATTAATTATATATAACCTTGATGTATAAACTAAGGTATTATAGAATTAACCACCTAAGGTCTTTTAAGTTATACTGGTTTAATAAAAATGGATTAAACCCTTTACTGGTAAGTTTCTAGTTTTGTATTCAAAAGTTCTTTATTTGAAAAGTATGTTTTGTACTAGAATACGGTGCATTGAATTAGTGTCCTATGACCTGGCCCATACATGGTACCCCATATGATTACTTGGTGTATACGGAACATATATATAGCTAAGATCGGATAGATAGTAGGCTGGGCGAATCTGCTTTAAGCCCACAACCAAACAAGGAACGGGAAATGAAGCGGAAAACACACATCCTACTACCTGTCGGACTCGATTAATATATAATCCTGAATGCATGCACTAAGAAATCATAAAGTTAGCATTATAGGCCCCCTTTCTACTGAATGTACTAGACTCGACTGTTCTGTTTGTCGTTTGTAAAATGTAAGTTTTCCCTAGTTTATAACTATCTTGACTCAAAAATAGTTTGCATTAACTTTCAAGTGGAACTGTCACAAAATGAAAGTAATAGGAAATTATAAGTACACAGTTGTCTTTTGAATTGACATTTTGCAGTACTGATTACCTTAAAACATGTTTGTTTTATTAAGGTCATAATGTGATGAATAGTCCCCATACTAAACGCTCTCCCTGCAAGAGATTCTGGGAACCAAATGCGACTTCAGCAAACCTGTTGCTGAGCCGTGAAGTAGGCTCACATTAAAGTTATATGATCATGTATACCCAATTTTACTATCACCTTTTTTTTAGAACAATGAGTTAGTGATTCACTGGTATAATTAGATCCTGTAGTTGTTCCATGCTATAGCATCTTAGTATGTTCGTTCTGTTATAGTATCTTAGTATGTTCTCTTTGAAGTATTGTATCCACCTCCCTGTTTCTCTTTATGTTATCGTGTATTGTATCTACCTCCCTGTTTCTCTTTATGTTATCGTGTATTGTATCTACCTCCCTGTTTCTCTTTATGTTATCGTGTATTGTATCCACCACCCTGTTTCTCTTTATGTTATCGTGTATTGTATCTACCACCCTGTTTCTCTTTATAGTATACTCTAGTATCTAGTATGAACTGAACCTCTAAGCTATACCCCTTATAGCTTACTAGTGTTTTACTTGAACTGTTATTGAAAAGACTCATTTTACTACTAAATTATGCTTGTACTTTAAAAACGGAGTTTTGTTAAACTATAAAGTAACATAACTTTAAAAGAGTTTTTGAAATGTTTTGATCACTTATAAAAGACATAAGCAATCTTTTGAAAGATGTTTATAACAAACAATTACACAATTATCATTGTGTTCAACTTGTATTCCCCCCCCCCCCCCCTTAAAATCATTTAAAACAGTTAAAAGATTCATTATAGGGGTATGAACTCACCTTATGTGGGTGATTCAAACGAATATGCGTGTAAGGATGAGAAGTAACACGAATGAAGTTCCGAGACTTAACGAATCCTAAATGACATATAATGGCATATATTGGCATAAATATAGTGTTTATAAGCAACTATATGAAAGCAAACACCCCTAGGGACTTGTACTAAGTGATGGAATCACATGTGATTCATCTAAGGGATGTTTATGGCCATCATTTGGTGTTTACAGCCATGGAGTTTACGGCCGTAAACTCATGGCAAAAGGTGCATAAGAGGGTGTTTGAATGATAGGGAAGCTTGAGGGACTATTGCTCTACAAAAGGATGAGCAAAACCAACTTATTGGAAGGTGTTGAGGTGTTTACGGCACACCAAAAGTGTATGGCCATAAACTCTCCAAATGGTGTCTTTTTGGGTCTTAAAGGGAAGGGTTATCAAAGGTTCATGTGTCCCAAAGGTTAGCTAGTGTCTAGAAGTGTTTAGGGCTAAAAACTTGGCCATAATTAGGGTTTACGGCCAAGGGAGATGCTCTTTGGCCGTAAACTCTCATTGATGTTGAGTTTGGTGATGTTTCAAGGCTATGATCTAGTTTTTAACATGGCTAACTAGAAGATAGATGGAATACTCACACTTTTGAGGCCCTTAGATGAGTTTGCGGCCACCAAGAACAAGTGTGTGTTCTTGGTGTTCTTGGTGAAAGATGGAGATCTTGAAGATGTTTTTGAAGATCAAAGTGAAGAACTCGATGATACTTGAGAGATAATGGAAGTGTTCTTGAGTTGAAAGTGTGAGAATGAAGGAAAAGTGAAGGGAATTGAGACTTTAAGGGGGAGTTTACGGCCAGCCTTGAGTTTACGACCGTAAACTCATGTGTGTTCGCCGTGAACTCGTTTTTGGTGGTCTTAAGGCTTGAATGTTGCAGAGTGTCTCTAGCAGGTACATTCTAACACTCATTCCTTAAGTGTACTAGGCTTAAAACCCATTATAATGACTCTTAACAAGGCTAGAAGGCAAAAAAAATTCGGGTTGTCACACTCTTGTGCTTTTGCTTCATCAAGTTTCTGAAATTTCAATGCCTCTTGTGCTTTTGCTTCTTCCAAATCAGTCTGCACGTAGGACATATCACATTAAAACTTTTCCAACAAAAGTCGTAATATTTCAACATAATTGAGTAAATTACCCTTAAACGTTTATCAAGTTGTAAACGCCATGCTAGTTCCTCCAATTGTTTCTTAAGCTTATCTTTTGCTTCTTTAAGTGCACCTGTTTCTTGTGCAGCCTGCAAAACTGATAAAGCTAGCAACTTTGAATTTTCGCAAAAAAGAAAGTAACATCATGAATATGATTTAAAATATATTACAGATACATGCATGCGTATTCACAGTCATACATCATCAATAGTTTGATCTTGAGATTGAGAAGAATCCGAGTCGGATAGGTTTGGATCTATGAATCTTGTTGAGCCTGGATTTATTTCTTCCGATAATACTCCCTGGCACTCACAACTTCTTCTGATTTTGCAGACTCCATGCCTTGAGTCAAACTATCACTCTGACTCTCCCCATTGCTGCTGCTTTCACCTACAAGCTTCCTGCATTGCTTGTGCAATTTTTCGTACTTCTTTCTGCAACATATAAAAACCTTGCTTTTGTTTTGCTTTATGAAAATAAAAAAATAATTATATATTATAATCAAAGTGGCAGGGCGTACCTCCCCTGAGTTCTTAGTTTATCTCTTTCTTCTTTGCAAGTGTTGAGCTCATAACTATTAAAAAAAAGCACAAAGTTTGAAATGAAAGAAGAAACAAAATTTGGAACGGAGATATTATTATACTTACAATCCAAGTAGGGAAGGCCAAACTTCGGACCTGATACTTGCATCCACTCCCTACAACAAATCAATTGTATGTGAGAAACTAAGTACTGAATTGAAATGAAATGTTGTGACTGTGACTGTGAGTAAGGAATAGGCACATGCAATGCATACCCCGCTGCGAACTTTTTTCAGAAATTTAACACCATCTCGAAGTTTTCCATCTGGTGTAAACAAATTTCTCCACTGTTGAGGAGTTAGTGCATGTTTTCTTTTCCTTCGTGACCATGGTGATTTCAGACGCCCCCCGTCATTAAATAATATGAATATGCCAGCTCAGTGATGCAGTTTCATGTAACTTTTGTAGAGTGTGTTCTGATAAAGTAAATTCTATTAAGGTAAGATTATGCATGATCACATGATAGAAAGCATCAAGTATAAGATGACAACAAATGGTTTACTGGTTCAGCATTCTGAAACCAAAGACCAAAAAAAACTAGGTTCCAATCATCAACTCATACTTTAAGGCTTTCATTCCAAACTAAGTAACATGGTCCAAAACTTAAAATTCAAATTAGGTGAAACTCTTTACAACCAAGAAAAATAAACATATACATTATACATATGAAGGGATTTCTAAAATCTAAATAACGATTTTGAAAATGTAATGGAGAAATAATGCATGCCAAGTATATGAAAGCATTAAGGACATATACATTTATATATGTCAATGCTGTAACTGTAAGAAGCCATTAAAATGTGAATCACCATACTACCCATCAAACTATATGATTTAAAATATATTACAGATACATTTATGGGTGCTGGAGTTTTTGTCCTTACTGGAGAAGTTGCTCATGATTTGGCTGGTCCAGCTGTTCTTCTATCCTACCTAATCTCAGTTTGTGATGCTCTTCTCTCTGTCATCTGCTACACCGAGTTTGTAACTTACTCTCTAAAAAAGAAAAACCAACTGTAAAACCAAAAAAAAACATACAAGATTTTTTATTAATTAAATAATTATGAGAAAACAGAATAATCATTAATCATTAATCACCTTTGTTGGCATATCAGGTGAGAACCAACGTAACAATACTCCAAGATGAACAACCGCCAGAATCAGCTTAAAAAGAAACAGTGTCGTTACCTGCACAAGTAAAAAAAATCATAAAGGCACGAGGGCAATTTCGTCATTTCACCATATTTGTGTCTAAAAGAGCGTAACCTTCGTTTCCATATAACCTAAAAGATCGTTTTTTACATGGAATAGAGACCTATTAATCAAATTATAAATAAATTCAATAATTAAATGTTCAAATCCAATAACTAATTAAAAAGAATTTTCAATTTTCAAAACCTTTGAGACATCTTCTGAGAGTTTAATATGTGGCTGATTGTTAATCTCAACAAGCTTAAAAACACAACCTAATGTAGCTTGAGCATAACACGGCACCAAATAGGTCCCGATTCCAAACGCATCCACCTCATGGCCCTAAATTTTTTTAATTATAATTCTATTTTAAAATTTATGTTAACTTTTTTTTATATAAATAGTTTTTTTGAATTGATATATAAAGTTTTGTTGGCTATTTGAAGTACATATAAAATATGTTTCGAATAACATTAAATATATGTTCATATTCCTTCGAGTCAACCAAACATGACAATGGAATGGAATGATTGATTCCAATGGAATGATCCATTCCATTCCATTCATTCTTCGATTCCGACATACCAAACACAACCTAAGAATTAAAAGTCTATAAAAAGCTTGCCTGTTTGTTTAAAGCATCCAAAGTTTCTTCATTGAGGTCATTACTAGCAGTGATTCCAGTCTTTCCAAACCCTGGAACTCCAAATTCCATTCCAATTGTTTCAAAGAACTTTCTTTTCTCACATGAAAGATAAGCAAGATCACCGCTCTTTCCTGGTGTCACTAACAAATGTGTGAGGTTCCATAGCTGAACTCTTACGATAAGAATAATATGGGCTAGAACCATCTTCTATTGTGTGATTCTTCTATTGTGTGATTAGTGCAGCTAAAAGAAACATAATAAAAACATTAATAACTTTATAATCTATAAAATCCAAGAAAAAGACTGTTACTACTTAAGGAAAAGGACAGAAGAAAAGATATAAGAGCAGTGGTCTGCACCTTGTTGTAGAATGATACAAGTGCATAAGCTTCATATGATGATTGTTGTCTGTTTTATCCATGTCCATGTTTCCTTGAAGACCCCCAGCAGATTAAAAGAAAATGTAAAAAAAAGAAGTAATAAAAGCCTTTCATCTATAAATAACAAATTTCTCATTCTCCAGATATATGTGATTATTAGGGTGCCTAGTTTTTCCACCAGCATGTTCCTCAAACTCATGAGCACAAAGAATCTGAATGCATCATTCAATCGTTAATCAAGTGTAGAAAATCCAATTACCAAAAATACACCCTAATGACAGGTGGCACCTGAAAACAGGAAGACATAAGTGAGAGTTCTCATTATAGCTTTAAAAAATAAATAAATAAAAATAACTTACGTGGAATTCTTTTAATGTATCAAGAACACCATTTAGGCTTTCAATGATGCTCTTCCAATAATTAGTTGGATATATTTCTTATGGACCCTGTGAGGGTTGCATCTGGAGAAGGATTTGGAGAAACAACCCTTTCATCTTTGGGAGAAAGTGGCTGACTATACAAATAAAGAACTAATGAAAAACATATATGAAAGGGGAAATTAAGATGAATAGAATTGAATAGCCAACAAGTACCTTATCCATGTAGTTATCGATTAGGGTTCGTTGAACTAGTAGCTTCGATTGCCAGTTGATGAGTCGTAGTTGTCGATCGATGCTACAATCGAGAGGAGTTGCAGTTGCCGAACTAGTTAGTGTGAGGATCGATGTGGAAGAAATTGGACTACGGATCTGATTGCTTCACCTTTGCGATTTCATAGATGTGTTTTAGGGTTATGGTTGATGCAACAACATGTCCTGCACGCCTACTCCCAGAGTCAATTCCACCAACTTATTTAAGAAATCGGGTCACTAAAGGGAAACGAACACTCATCTCAAAAGTTTGTCTTTGAAAACAATCACAGTACCAGCGATCAGGGCTTCCGATTTGTATTTCTAGGTGCAAGCGTTGACTTTGTACTGAACTACTACCGGTGGTCCAGGTATTCCTCCGCCAACTGGGATGGTGATACGGACTGTCGCCGCCACAGGCCGACGGCCCGACGCATTAGACTTTCCTTCAGGGACGCCATTTGACTAAAATCCAAACCTGAACAAAAAAATTGAAATAGTAATATGAAAAAATCCTAAATCCTTAATTACAAGAGTAAGAAATTAAAGGAGAATGATAAGAGAGTGATGTATGTGCTTGTTCTAGAGTGTGAACGAATCAAAAAATTGATGGCATAACTGGTGGAAACAAGGGAGAGGAGAATGAGCGGGGTTTTTGATTTTTAGGATTTCATTTCCCTCCTTAGGTATACCGAGATGCTATATGGATGGAGACGCACCTTTCATTAAAATATTATAAAACGACAGGCCTAGACGACACACTATTTATAAAAGGTGCCTTCCGTGTTTTTTTTTGACGCAAATTTTAGGGCACGCAAAAATGTGTGTCCTCTATTCTTGAATTTTAGGAAAAGCTGACATTATTTTTAGGGCATGCAAAAATGCGTATCGTAAATCACTGCGTGTCATTGTTCGCGCGTCATTAAAGGGTTGTTTTCTAGTAGTGTTGTTCTTCTAGAAAGAATACTTTGTATGGATAATCATACACATTTAAAGAAAGACTTGTTATAAAGGATTTTCTCATACTCATTTCATTTACTATGGTGCTTATCATAGTCATGACATTGACTATGATCAAAACTTTATTACAAGTAGCCATGATTATATCAATAAGGTTATTGTTTACTATAAATTCATATTCTCAATATGAAATATAGCAAATAGATTTCAAGAAAGAACGCTTTTCTTAATAGACATATACTAGAAGATATCTAAATAGATTATCTTGGAGGTTTTCTTAATCCATGTTATCCTAACAAAATGTGTAAAGCTTGAGATCCAATTGTGGATATAAAGCAAACATCTGAATGTTGCAATCATCATTCTAATATAAAACCACAAGGTATGTTTTTTTATATCAAAATGAATAGAACATGTGTGTTTACTAAGAACTAGTGGGAGTATAGTGACATTCCTATTCTTGTATGAGTAAGACATACTTAATCATAAGAAATTACATTATATCTATGCCAAGCCTTTTTTACAATGACTCGGAATGTGTTTCTAAAATGAAATACTTAGGAAGGACAAGATACATTCTTGGAATGTAAAATCTATTGAGATGGATAAAATGATTGTTAAAAGTTTTATATCCTTTTGCATATATTTACAATAACTTGAAAGAGATGAAGATAGAAGATTCCTTTAGAGGAACCTTTACATTGTCACATGACACTGATTTTGAGCCAGCCTCAAAAGAATATAGCTCATAGGTTTGAACTAGCTGAAAAGATTTATATTCAATTTGCTTGGAAAATGAATCCATCATTTATGCCATATTATGGAAAAGACTTGGTGTATGATCATGCTATGCGTATATCATAATATACCAATTGAATACATGGTTAAGTTATCAGATGACTATAGGAACATTCTAAGGGTACTTTAGAAGAACTAAGAGAATGTATATGAGACAATTAGTTTGGAATAAAATCTTCATGTAAAGAGCTACATAAGATTCAGATTTCTAAGAAAATATATATAATTATGAATTATAATTGGATTATGACTTTATTGTGGGATGAAGAGTAAGTTTTGTTGGAACGAGGTCCAACCAAAACAAAATGACACAATATACTACAAAATAAGAATACACTACTTTATAAGTTGAAATCTAATATAATTGGATGAATGAGTTCATTGAAAAACTATGTTGATTTATGCCATTCAAGGATCACATAGAAACATTTATGACTTCGTGAGTATACTTAATCGAGCTAAGAGACTCTATGTCACGAAAGAACACCAATCATATACTCCAAGATATTTAATTATACCTAGAGTAAAGTCAAATATGGTGGTGACAGTATTCACAGTATTCAAACAAATTAAGTTTAGTCGAACCCATTAAGAAAATTCCTTTTGAGCTAAGTATGAATGGTCACACTTCAGCTATAAGACTTTATTATTCTAGAAATGGGATTTTGATTTAGATTTAGTATTTAGATATTGGAACATTGTAACAACAACTATTATATAATGTTTTTGATATACTGGGATATGATCGTAGCATCAATACTTGTTGTGCTCTATATTAACATGTTTAATCCATGAATAATCTTATTATTCTAAAAGTTCATAGTTGATTATAAATGTGGAGCAATTATGAAATAAGTCTAATATGAATTGGATTGGTTGACTTTCATCGGATGAAGGTAGGCAATGGGTTGTAACCAAGTTTCATAGGTACTTGTTAGAGAACTAGTGTTGAACTGACCCTCATCAAGATCATCTCATGGATCGTTATCATGAATGATACTTGATTAAAAGGTACCATCTTTGTATCCTTAACACTTGCGATACATAGTGGGACTTAAGTGTAGGGAGTATTGTGCTTAGATATGGTCAAATGTTGGTCCTTAACCGGTCAGTTGTAAAATCTATTTTCAGGTATGGTATGAACTATGCAAGAGGATTATGTAGTCAAGATGGGATTTGTACCTCTTATGTGTTGAGAGTTAGACATCTAAGGTGCCTTACCAAAAATTGAACACCATATGAGATTGATTGCGATCCATATCTCATGTTTAACATGATGTCTATGACAAAGGGATAACTGAGAAACTTACCTTATACACCAATTGTAGCTTGGAGCTTTTTGGGAATTGGGCGTTGATAGAAAGGCACAAAGTCGTATGTTGATGGGGGCAGTGAAATGTTGCTAGACGTTCACCACTGTCTATATCATTCTAATATGAATCTTGCGCAAGTGAGAGATTGAAAGATCTAGTTTGCTCAAGAATCATATTAAAGTGATATTGCTAATTAACATATGATACTAATGGGTCACACTAACAACAACTTGATATAATTGATTATTTATTAGAAATTGATTTTAATAAATATTCAATAAACTCTTATAATTAAATTGGAAATTATTTACTTCTAGGAAATAATAATTTTTATTAGCAAGTAACATTATATATAATTCATATGGTATGAATTAATAAGTCATGCACAACATTTTGGACTACACAAAATCTTTTGTTTTTTTACAAAAAAGTTAAAGTTTATATTTTATAAACTTGGTTTATAAAATATAAATTTTTTGCCTTCTTCCTTTGATTATTTTATAAAATAAGAGTAAAAAAGGAAGAGTATGGTTTTTTGATTATTTAAATGAGAGAATGGTTTTTTGATTATTTAAATAAGAGTATGACTTTTTTGATTATTTAAATGAGAGAATGACTTTTTGATTATTTAAAGAAGAGTATGGCTTTTTGAATATTTAAATAAGAGCATGACTTGTCTTAAGAAGCATGAGTTTTTGACTTATTTAATCAAAAGTAATAAAAAACATGAGTATTGTGCATGCTATATATATATATATATATATATATATATATATATATATATATATATATATATATACTCCCTCCGTCCCAAAATTATTGTCCACAGACAAAAAACACACAGATTAAGGAAGAATTAATTACCAATAACTTTATTCAATAAAATGACAAATTTGTTCTTACTTTGTATTTAGTGTTCCATTAAATGCTTAGTTGGTTAAGTAATAATGAGAGGGTATTTTGGTAAAAATGTTATTTATTTTTAGAAGTGGACTATTATTTTTGGACAAACCAAAAAGGAAAGATGGACTATAATATTGGGACGGAGGGAGTATATATATATATATATATATATATATATATATATCTATATATATATATATATATTATATATATATATATAT